CTCAGACCTTTCTGACAATATGTGTTTTGTCAAGATTAGAACATTTTTGATAATGAATTATGAAAGATGATGCCCAAAAGGGGAGGGGCCTAATAAAAAAATACCGTTTCTATGGTAACGCAACGTCCAATTTCAAAACGGTTTTAACAGGATGAATTCTGAGTTCGTAAGCTTTCAAATGATACCTAATTTATGATAACTACTAAAATATGTGATATAATAATAATAAAAAAATTATATATATATATATATATAATATATATTATACTTTTTAGAGGACTTTTTACTTTACTTTTTAAAATATAATTTTATCTTTTTTTATTGACAAAAAAGTTTTATTATGAACTTTTAGCATTAAAAACCAAAGTTTCAATTATTAAAAGTGTGTGCGTCAACTTTTTGTGACAAAGATCAGAAACTCCTGCAATGACGTCGATTTTTTTGAGGCGCACTCTTGTCATAAATTCATATATTACTGTTCATACATAATTTCTAAGAAAAAAACAGCGCTAAAATATCTATTAAGGAGTCTTAGACCTTTCCAACAATATATAGTTTGTCATGACTAGGATTTAAAGGGTCACTTCACCCATTTGCATTAAGGTTTGTATTGTTAGAAACCCAGTCATATCCTCCTGAGACCCAGAAAAAACAAGTTTTTTGAATTTAGTTTTTTTCCATGTCATCACACTGTTTAGAGCACAATAAACAAATGGTAAAAAAACATATATATAAAATAATATTTTATTCATACGTTATGCTATGTCCTCTGTAGTGGACGCCAGGACTAAGTTGTTTAAAAAATAAAATGACATGAAATTATATGTATAGGCAAAAACAATGGGATTTTTTTTTCAATCACCAATACATTTAGGGGTTTCAGGATTTTTTAAACCAAAATTTGTATAAAGATTATTCTCAACTATGTTATGAAAGAAATAATGGAATGAATTGATACACCATTTTACTTTTTGCAATATGTGGGTAGAATGGCCATTAGTTAATATTCCTATTCAATGCAATGTATCTATACACTGTATCTAATTTGCACATTAATGTGTTCTGGGAGCAACATTTAATGAAAGAATAAAGGGTAATAATTGGAGTAATAATTGGCAACATTTTAATAATAATATCTAACATTTCATAGGAATATTGATGTATAATTTATTTCCATATTCACTTGTTGTGTCTCCCAGAATGCCTGATAAACATGATTTTAGTCCTGATGTCCTCTACAGTGGACACGTTTGAAATCAATGCCCTGTTCTGTAACAGAAAGTTTTTTTTTTTTTAAACCCCTTAACATTTTCCTGAGATGTTGTTTTATGAAATACAATTTGAAAAGTAGTCCAATTTATATTATAATTACACTATATTATCATATTTCCATAAGAATGCTACATTTGATCACTAAATTAATGTCAGACATTTTTAAAGACCAAGGAGAAGTTGTTTTCATGGTGAAACCTCCAAACATTTGGTATCTCTGAAAAGTCCTGAATGTGCTCTTTACAGGACACCCAGGTTGTGTCATGTGACATGTATGATGTCAGAGAAATTCACTAAAATATAATGTCCACTACAGTGGACAAAAGTCTATTCTTGGGTCCCAGGAGGATATATTATAATGATGGTGGAATTTTGCTTGTTTTTTTTCTGAGATGGGAGAAAAAAGGATTTAAGTGTTTTACTTCCGTCCTATCGTGACGTAAATATCGTCATTTTGCGTCACGATAGGACGGAAGATAAATTTCATTGCATATGTCGGTACACGATCCGTTCCACCTGCACGATCCGTTCTACGCATGCGTAGTAGACGCAGTAGAAAACGCACATGCGCAAATTATAATTCTGTTTTGCGATGCTGATTTTGATTTACGACACTGCACGATCTGTTCCACGCATGCGCATATTTGTACCGCGAAACTTTCATTCACTCACAGCAAAAGAAAATGGAGTTCAGTGGAAGAAATGAGCGAAATGAGAAGTTTGCCCTTTACGCTGCCGTTAGACAATATTTGGTTGACGGGTTGGTGGATGCAGCGTTGAAGAAGAAGGTCTCACGAATGGCTGCAAATTTTGTTATAAGAGGTACGTGAGTGCATAGACATCATTATTGATAGACGCCCTATCAACCGCTAAGTTACTGCCAGTGTCCCATCTTAGACCGGTCACCCGCTGTTATCTGTTTGTCAGGTGCAATGAGCTGTCAGCGTACCTCACTGAATATCAAACTGATTTTCGCGCGGTTTTTTTTTGCTGCAAATGTCATTCATGTAGCTATGATACAGGACACATGGTTCGGCGTATTTTAATATTCACAGTAGGCTTACAGTAATATAATATTCTGATATAAGATATACAGTGACCAGACACAATATATGATGTATGTGATGTAGGATATAAGGTATTTTATAAATCACACACTATAAATATGATAAAGAAGCAGAAACAGATAGTTGCAGTAAAGTAAGATATTTTAATAAGTTGACACAAACAAACACGAACAGACACTCTCTCACACACAAACTCACACACAAACAAACAAACCGGAACAGACACAAACATACTCCCTCTCACACACAAACACACTCTCTCACACACACAAACTCACTCTCTCACACAAACACAAACAGACACTCTCTCACTCATACAAACAAACACGAACAGACACAAACAGACCATTCAAGTTGAATTATGATTTGTGACACACACACTCACACACAAACAAACACGAACAGACACTCTCTCACACACAAACAAACAGGAACAGATACAAACAGACACCCTCTCACACACAAACACACTCTCTCTCACACACAAACTCACTCGCACACTCTCTCACACAAACAGACACTCTCTCACACACAAACACACACTCTCTCACTCACACACAAACAAACAGGAACCGACACCCTCTCACAAACAAACAGACACACACACTCTCTCTCTCTCTCTCTCTCTCTCTCTCTCTCTCTCTCTCTCTCTCTCTCTCTCTCTCTCTCTCTCTCTCTCTCTCTCTCTCTCTCTCACACACAAACACGAACAGACACACACACACACACACTCTCTCTCTCTCTCTCTCTCTCTCTCTCTCTCTCAAAAAGCAAGACTATGTAAACAAAAACACAGCCACTGTACAAAAGTGGCAATTATAGAATAACGGACACAGCAATGCATCATGTTCTATAAGATCATCATGTTTTTAGCATAATCCAGGGGATTAAAACGTACAAAATATATTTCAGGCCTAGTGAAGTTGGTAACTAACTAATAATAGTAGTAATTGTGTAAAGTTGCATAAAATGGTAATACTCACTAATGCAAGAAAAAACTACCTCAAAAAACTGTTATCTGTGCTGTTGTCCAGTAACTCCAGTTGGAAACTTCACCCCAAAATGGCGGGCTACCGAAACGCCACCTAGTGGCTGTTACCAAAAAAAGCATCAGAGTTTCGCCTCTTGTTCTTCTATACTCTGGTATTTGAAAATAATATTTCGCATTGTTTTAGTTAACACGTGTGAGCATGTCAGTAACGTTCCATCTAGTCAGACATAGTAACCGCCAACATTTTTCACCACACGTGTTTGCATCCCTGAACAGACACATGTGCACATACGTGCTGTATTGTAATACCAAACAAAGCAGCAAAATCATTACGTTACAAACATTGTTTGTCTATCACAGAAAGTAAATTATTCTACATTGGCCCCAGTGCACAATTCATGAGGCTGGTTGTGCTGTCTGATGAGCAGAGGCGGGCTGTCCTGGAGGAGTGCCACAACAACCCTGGAACAGGGAACCATGGGGGCGTGAGGGCGACCATGGACAGGGTTGCTGTGGGGTACTACTGGGATAACATAAAGGCAGATGTGGCAGATTGGGTACTTTTTTGGAACTTTAATGGAATTTGACACTATGGCTCTCAGGCAATGAATTGATTTAGTGGCTTTGTTTGACTTCAGATAATTATTTTGTCTAAATAATATAATTATTTTGTCTAAATAATAAATGTATCCATCAGGTCAAAAGCTGTCACAGATGCCAAAAGAACGACCCCATAAAGACTGTGTCTCCTGCCCTTCACCCTATTAAGGTAGAGCTTACCTTGGTGTACCACTTAAAGCAACAAGTTAGGTGATGTGGTAATATTACATATCTCCACAGGTGAAAGAGCCGTGGGAGGTGGTCGGTATGGACCTCATTGGTCCACTGAAAAAAACCATGAAAGACCATCAATACGTCCTCACGGTGACAGACCTGTTCACCAAGTGGGTTATCGCTGAGCCTTTGAAGTGTGGCTCTAGCACTGAGGTGGCTGAGGCACTTGTGTCAAAGCTCTACACATTTGGTATGGTCCGGAAAATCATCACTGACAGGGGCCGTGCATTTGTTAACGAGGTATGTGTCCTTATTACCCTCTCCCTTCACACAGGGCATATGGCATCATCACAATTCATTGGTCATTTCTGAGACCAATAAATATTGAAAATAACCATGTGTGTCTGATGTACAGCTTAATGCACACATATTTGCGGCGTTGAACATCAAGCATGCCATCACAAGTGCATACCATCCCCAGTCAAACGGCCAAGTAAGTGTGCCCTCATGACATCCCGCAAAACAGTAAAGTCCATTTTAGCCAATGTACACTAAAGTGCATGTAACAATTCCTTTCTATGTTGAAGGATGAGAGAACTAATCAAAATATAAAGAGGACTCTCAGAAAATATGTTAATCAGCACCATGATGATTGGGACATCCACTTACAGGCCATAGTTTATGGAATAAACACTGCAAAACAGGTTATTATTCAAAATGACTAGATAACATATGTTGCATACATGTTTTAAGAGTTTTATTTTGTGATTTGATGCAAAACATTTTGTTTCAAATTAGAGATCCACCAAGTACAGCCCGTACTTTTTAATGTACAATAGGCACCCCCGTCTACCACAGGCATTAAATGTCTGTGAGACAGACGCTGCCTTTAAATTTGGCGGACCCAGAGGAGGAGCTGGAGCTAAAACTAGCTGGAGTCAAGGCCCTCAATGAAACGGTTTGTTCAGAGTTGTGTGAATGGCATGTTCAATTTGAATAAGAATGTTCGCATAGTAATATATTCTTATCTTTAAGGTACGGAAAAACATTGAAAAGGCACAGGGGAAACAAAAAAAGGCTTTTGAGGCAAAGAAAAGGAAAGGGGTTCGCCAGTGCTCAGTTAAGGCAGGGGACGAGGTCCTAATTGGGGAGCCCAAAAAGAAGGTGAAGAAGGGAAATTGTTTACAGGATCTCCACCAAGGGCCATTCACCCTCACATCCCTGACAGAGAAGGGTGTGGCAAGTGTGGCTATGTTAGGAAAAATACAGAAAATGAATGTTGCACAGCTAAGGCCCTACTTTCGGCCACAAGGTATTGTAATAATCCTACTTGGTGACATAGCAAATATAAACATGACACTTGGCAATGCTGATTACTATTTACTTTCCTGTTGTGTAGATCATAGCCATGAATCGGAGGGCAGCCAAAACAATGCAGAAGACATTGGACTGGTGGACCACCAGTATGCCAATAAAGGTCCACTGTGGCACAAGAGGTTGTGTCCTCAACAAGAACAAGTGGTGAGTGCCAAACTAAACTGGATAGTTCACATGCACAGCTTGTTGGTGTGCTTTAAATAATAAATGCATGATTGCTTATTCCTAACAGGGATATTTTTTATTTCTAGCTGACCTATGTGCTGGACAGAACACGTCCAGCAAAAGAAATTGTTGTTCTGGATGGCCCAGTTTGTCTTCAAAGGGAAGACTTTTGGAGCCTGGGGCTAGATGAACAGGTGGAGAGCAGTGTAAGTGGATATTGCTGTAAAGAGTTTGGATGGTTCTAATGCCTTTATTGTAATTATGCAAAACATTCTGTGCTTTCAGATTGGGAATGCGTGCTTCAGGCTGGTAGAGGAGGCAGGCAGGAGACATGTATGTATTTGTATTTACCTTGATGACTTACACATAAGTTTGTGCAAAAGTGAGTGCACCTCTCACATTTTTACTACTCACTTTTGTGAGATGTATGTATATGAAATGCAGACATACAATTTTATTCAGGGAATGGATGTCCACATTGCTGACCTATTTGAAGTCCCTAAATGGAAACTAAGCGAACCTAGTTTGCCGGTAAGTTGTATAATGTGTTAAGTCCCGCAGATACACCTCTTTAAGTGAAGATTATGTCCAAGGAGATCTGAACATAGTTTTTTTTTCATAGGACAATGTGGAATCTAAAGATATCATCATTTTGCCAGCATGGTCTAGGGGGTCACAAACAGCAAGCCACTACATGCTTTGTGTACAGTTACATTGTTTTTTAGTTTTTCCTCTATTTTTAAACCAGTTGGTGCCCCTATAGCTGACATTAATAGGGTATGTTCTTCACAGGTGTTATTAGTTGCTAAGAAGGAGGCTATTTTTCTGGACTCATTATGTCCAAATGGGTTTGGAGATGAGAAATACCGAACCATATTTAGGTTTGAAATGCATAAGCAGAGGACATTAGCAAGGTTTGACCTGTGACCGATTAAGGCTAACAAAGAACATAAAGTGCATGTAGTTACGTGCTACTATGGGAATTAAAGTTAATACATGATAGGGGGTGTTTTCTACTTTTTTTTTCATCCAGTTAAGCCTGAACAGCACTCTGAAAATCTTCAATCTGATGACATTGTGTAACAGCCTTAACAAATACAGATCAAACTGAGTGAAATGGACTGATATCCTGTTCAGGCAAAGCCTTGTTCTCTGGCTTTAGGTTTGATTAAAAGCCTTGTTCTCTGGCTTTAGGATTGAGTAAAAGCCTTGTTCTCTGGCTTTAGGATTGAGTAAAAACCTTGTTCTCTGGCTTTAGGTTTGATTAAAAGCCTTGTTCTTTGGCTTTAGGATTGAGTAAAAGCCTTGTTCTCTGGCTTTAGGTTTGATTAAAAGCCTTGTTCTTTGGCTTTAGGATTGAGTAAAAGCCTTGTTCTCTGGCTTTAGGATTGAGTAAAAGCCTTGTTCTCTGGCTTTAGGATTGAGTAAAAACCTTGTTCTCTGGCTTTAGGATTGAGTAAAAGCCTTGTTCTCTGGCTTTAGGATTGAGTAAAAGCCTTGTTCTCTGGCTTTAGGATTGAGTAAAAACCTTGTTCTCTGGCTTTAGGATTGAGTAAAAGCCTTGTTCTCTGGCTTTAGGATTAAGGAAAAAACCTTGTTCTATGGATTCAGTTTTGCATAATGTTTTTCCAGACAACTTGCAGGAGCAGTGGCTAATGGACCGTGGGTGGAGAAGACGGGCAAAGATTTTGATGTAACTTTACTTACTATGTAAATTTGCCATTTCATTTTGCTCAGCGGACACTATATATGGTTGTCAACATTACATCTGAGTAACTGTATATTACTTTTCAGCCATTTCCAGTTCAGTCAGATGGACAGAGCTGTGGGATATTCATGCTTATGGTAAACTTATACAATTTCTACTCAATTTTTCCTGTTTGTCCTAAATCTCCATAGTAATTATTTTTCTCTTTAACAGTATGCCCTCTGCATCTGTACTGGTGCCATGTTTCACTTTTTGGATGTAAGTTGTAATTCATGGAATGTATATGTATCAAAGAATGTTAAAAAACAAACAATGCAAGACTCCAATATTACATGTGTATTACAGACTGACATACCATCTATTCGGAAGTGGTGGTGTCTCCAGATTCTGGAGAAATTCTCGATCGCAAGGTAGGGCATATATTTCAAGCAGTAAAACATTGGTCTGCTTTACAATTATGCTACATTAAAAGTACCATACTTTTGAATAGGCATGGGCAGAACTTCGGGCAGCGCTTTGCCTTCTGGACAGAGGAGGCAGAACAGCTGATGGCAGGCACCCTACCACCTATTTATAGGATTTCTCGACCCCAAATAGTCAAGGTATGGCCAAACTAACCAGACAACCATTTTCACGTACGCATTCTAAATGTTAAATTAACACCGGTAACACCGACTACCGTAGCAAGCCAAGTTACTACCCGAACCCCGAAGTTCCGTAGTGCCAGTAAAAGCGATACAGACCCCGTCAGGCAATGGCAGAAGTGCCTTTCACCCTGTTATGACTTGATGAACCACTGATAAGATTTTGGAAACATTATTTTAAGGTAAAAATGTTACATAGTGTTGCTTTAAGTATTGTGTTTACATGAGGTAAAATATAATTGCAATATTGCTAAAATCCCATTATAATCGCATTATGAGGGTGCATGTAAACGTTGTCAATCTTTCACCCTTAGTTACATTGCAGCCATCTCCAAGAGACATTTGTTCATTTTTTTGCTGAAAAGATGTCTTTAGGCCCCGTTTGAAAGACCAAAACATTTTATGTTGTAGTCTTAATTTATGGTATTTTACTTTATCATAGGAGGAACAGGTAGAAGTGGAGGAGCTGCCCCTCACATTGAAACATATGTACCAGGCAGAATACATCGTGAGGAACAGTATTGGGCTTTTCACTGGCCAGGTGCAAGAACCATCATACATGTTGATGGATCATGATGACCAAATGAAAGCGTGGAGGGTGCTGATGGAGTCGAGGAAGTGCTATGCCATGGAGCCTTTCACGTTCATTTTTGAAAACATTCAGGACATGGAAACCTTCATGATTATTTGCAAAGACACCCTCAACCTGAGAGTAAATGCTGGAGTTGGGGTGCACAGTCACCCCTATACATTTTGTTAGTGTGTGTGTGTGTGTGTGTGTGTGTGTGTGTGTGTGTGTGTGTGTGTGTGTGTGTGTGTGTTACAGCGGAAAGAGTGTTCGTTTAAATGAACAGAGCTGTTACAGCGGAAAGAGTGTTCGTCTGAAGTGGACTGAGAGCTGTTACAGCGGAAAGAGTGTTCGTCTGAAGTGACTGAGCTGTTACAGCGGAAAGAGTGTTCGTCTGAAGTGGACTGAGAGCTGTTACAGCGGAAAGAGTGTTCGTCTGAAGTGGACTGAGAGCTGTTACAGCGGAAAGAGTGTTCGTCTGAAGTGACTGAGCTGTTACAGCGGAAAGAGTGTTCGTCTGAAGTGGACTGAGAGCTGTTACAGCGGAAAGAGTGTTCGTCTGTAGTGGACTGAGAGCTGTTACAGCGGAAAGAGTGTTCGTCTGAAGTGACTGAGCTGTTACAGCGGAAAGAGTGTTCGTCTGTAGTGGACTGAGCTGTTACAGCGGAAAGAGTGTTCGTCTGTAGTGACTGAGCTGTTACAGCGGAAAGAGTGTTCGTCTGAAGTGGACTGAGAGCTGTTACAGCGGAAAGAGTGTTCGTCTGAAGTGACTGAGAGCTGTTACAGCGGAAAGAGTGTTCGTCTGAAGTGGACTGAGAGCTGTTACAGCGGAAAGAGTGTTCGTCTGAAGTGGACTGAGCTGTTACAGCGGAAAGAGTGTTCGTCTGAAGTGACTGAGCTGTTACAGCGGAAAGAGTGTTCGTCTGAAGTGACTGAGCTGTTACAGCGGAAAGAGTGTTCGTCTGTAGTGACTGAGCTGTTACAGCGGAAAGAGTGTTCGTCTGTAGTGACTGAGAGCTGTTACAGCGGAAAGAGTGTTCGTCTGAAGTGACTGAGAGCTGTTACAGCGGAAAGAGTGTTCGTCTGAAGTGACTGAGAGCTGTTACAGCGGAAAGAGTGTTCGTCTGAAGTGGACTGAGAGCTGTTACAGCGGAAAGAGTGTTCGTCTGAAGTGACTGAGCTGTTACAGCGGAAAGAGTGTTCGTCTGAAGTGACTGAGCTGTTACAGCGGAAAGAGTGTTCGTCTGAAGTGGACTGAGAGCTGTTACAGCGGAAAGAGTGTTCGTCTGAAGTGACTGAGAGCTGTTACAGCGGAAAGAGTGTTCGTCTGAAGTGGACTGAGAGCTGTTACAGCGGAAAGAGTGTTCGTCTGAAGTGACTGAGCTGTTACAGCGGAAAGAGTGTTCGTCTGAAGTGACTGAGAGCTGTTACAGCGGAAAGAGTGTTCGTCTGAAGTGACTGAGAGCTGTTACAGCGGAAAGAGTGTTCGTCTGAAGTGGACTGAGAGCTGTTACAGCGGAAAGAGTGTTCGTCTGTAGTGACTGAGAGCTGTTACAGCGGAAAGAGTGTTCGTCTGAAGTGACTGAGAGCTGTTACAGCGGAAAGAGTGTTCGTCTGAAGTGACTGAGAGCTGTTACAGCGGAAAGAGTGTTCGTCTGAAGTGGACTGAGAGCTGTTACAGCGGAAAGAGTGTTCGTCTGAAGTGGACTGAGAGCTGTTACAGCGGAAAGAGTGTTCGTCTGAAGTGGACTGAGCTGTTACAGCGGAAAGAGTGTTCGTCTGAAGTGGACTGAGCTGTTACAGCGGAAAGAGTGTTCGTCTGAAGTGGACTGAGCTGTTACAGCGGAAAGAGTGTTCGTCTGAAGTGACTGAGCTGTTACAGCGGAAAGAGTGTTCGTCTGAAGTGACTGAGAGCTGTTACAGCGGAAAGAGTGTTCGTCTGAAGTGACTGAGAGCTGTTACAGCGGAAAGAGTGTTCGTCTGAAGTGGACTGAGAGCTGTTACAGCGGAAAGAGTGTTCGTCTGAAGTGGACTGAGAGCTGTTACAGCGGAAAGAGTGTTCGTCTGAAGTGGACTGAGCTGTTACAGCGGAAAGAGTGTTCGTCTGTAGTGACTGAGAGCTGTTACAGCGGAAAGAGTGTTCGTCTGTAGTGACTGAGAGCTGTTACAGCGGAAAGAGTGTTCGTCTGAAGTGGACTGAGAGCTGTTACAGCGGAAAGAGTGTTCGTCTGAAGTGGACTGAGAGCTGTTACAGCGGAAAGAGTGTTCGTCTGAAGTGGACTGAGCTGTTACAGCGGAAAGAGTGTTCGTCTGAAGTGACTGAGCTGTTACAGCGGAAAGAGTGTTCGTCTGAAGTGGACTGAGAGCTGTTACAGCGGAAAGAGTGTTCGTCTGAAGTGGACTGAGAGCTGTTACAGCGGAAAGAGTGTTCGTCTGAAGTGGACTGAGAGCTGTTACAGCGGAAAGAGTGTTCGTCTGAAGTGACTGAGCTGTTACAGCGGAAAGAGTGTTCGTCTGAAGTGACTGAGAGCTGTTACAGCGGAAAGAGTGTTCGTCTGTAGTGACTGAGAGCTGTTACAGCGGAAAGAGTGTTCGTCTGAAGTGACTGAGAGCTGTTACAGCGGAAAGAGTGTTCGTCTGAAGTGACTGAGAGCTGTTACAGCGGAAAGAGTGTTCGTCTGAAGTGACTGAGAGCTGTTACAGCGGAAAGAGTGTTCGTCTGAAGTGACTGAGAGCTGTTACAGCGGAAAGAGTGTTCGTCTGAAGTGGACTGAGAGCTGTTACAGCGGAAAGAGTGTTCGTCTGAAGTGGACTGAGAGCTGTTACAGCGGAAAGAGTGTTCGTCTGAAGTGGACTGAGAGCTGTTACAGCGGAAAGAGTGTTCGTCTGAAGTGACTGAGAGCTGTTACAGCGGAAAGAGTGTTCGTCTGAAGTGACTGAGAGCTGTTACAGCGGAAAGAGTGTTCGTCTGAAGTGGACTGAGCTGTTACAGCGGAAAGAGTGTTCGTCTGAAGTGACTGAGAGCTGTTACAGCGGAAAGAGTGTTCGTCTGAAGTGGACTGAGAGCTGTTACAGCGGAAAGAGTGTTCGTCTGTAGTGACTGAGAGCTGTTACAGCGGAAAGAGTGTTCGTCTGTAGTGGACTGAGCTGTTACAGCGGAAAGAGTGTTCGTCTGAAGTGACTGAGAGCTGTTACAGCGGAAAGAGTGTTCGTCTGAAGTGGACTGAGAGCTGTTAAAGTGTGTGTGTGTGTGTGTGTGTGTGTGTGTGTGTGTGTGTGTGTGTGTGTGTGTGTGTGTGTGTGTGTGTGTGTGTGTGTGTGTGTGTGTGTGTGTGTGTGTGTGTGTGTGTGTGTGTGTGTGTGTGTGTGTGTGTGTGTGTGTGTGTGTGTGTGTGTGTGTGTGTGTGTGTGTGTGTGTGTGTGTGTGTGTGTGTGTGTGTGTGTGTTTATAAAGATAAATAAAGATACTCAAAAAGTGTACTTTACTACTGTCCACCACTGGTCCCATGTCACTTCTGTGTGTACACATGCTTCTTTCAAGTCATTTCCATTGTCAGTTTGAAATACTCTATAACGTTTCCCCAGACTTGTTTGTAGTTCTTTTTTCACGTAAGTGCAGATAGTCTAGGCAGAAATGCATATTATGTTCCTTTATTGTCTTTGTAAACAACATTAAAGAGATTATTTTCCGCATTTAGATTATATAGATATATATTAGCCTATATAGACCCATACTAATACAAAATTACTCAACTTAAAAGGTAACTAATAGCCGATTATAAATTAATAATTTATTTAATTTAATAATTAAATTTTAATCAAAAAAAATGACACCAAACCATCTGACAATACTGACCTCAGACCAAAACACGGCAAGTTAAGTCAGTTAAGCCTAATACCATACAGCAATGAATCGCAAAGGAGAGTGGGGGAAACTGATCATGTATGTTCATAACTCACAGTCACAACTCCTTTATTATTTTGGATTGGCAACCACGTAAACACATCGTAATGCAGCGTAAGCTACATTTAAAAACATCAAAATAGACCCGCTGTGAAATGTTAAACAAAATACAACTAAAGTTACACAAACATTGAATGTCTATGTTACACAAATACCGGTATGCCGCAAGTTGTGCCGCCTGGCCGTAAAGTGTTTCATCCACGCATGCGTGGTACCGATAGTGTAGGAAAACCGTGACGTCTTCTACTACGTAATTACGCGCATGCGTAGAACGGATCGTGCAGATGGAACGGATCGTGTACCGACAGCATATTAAGAAAACTACAGCCTTTAGCTCATTATTATTCAAGGGCGTGGGACCCACTCACCCCACCGGCCTATTACAGATCAGTGGGTGGGACTAAACCTGAAGAAACTAAACTATTAATCCGCCATCTTGCTTGGAAGACAGCAAGCTAAGCTAACAAGCGCTCAAGGAGTTAGATTTACCATAATGCCTGAATTTACGACACACGATATGGAAGACGAGGATTTTGAAAATCTTTTGCTCGAAACTGATGTTCGTGGCTATTTATACGAGCCACAATATAGCGAAGAGCAGCTGAGGCTGATGGAGGAACAAGAGGCGGCGGCGTCGGCTGCGGCAGCGGCCGCCGCAGGAGACCAGCCCGGCGCAGACGAGAAGCCCGGACTGGCTCGAGCTGGGCGGACTGCTGGTGCCTACATGTCGTGCTCTCGGCTCTCGCTGTGCGCTACGGACACAGATAGAGTCCGTCTGCTGCAGAGAATTTCAACGATCGCAATATCACCTTGACGAAACCTCTGAATCAGACGAGCACACGGACGTTTGTGTTGTGATCCATCCAAGTTTCGCACCGCATATGTTCTGAGTCTGACTGAACATCCAGGTAACTTTATCATCATCATGCAATAATTCACCATATAGAAAGAAATACAAACGAGGAGTAATTCACTAATGAGTTTGCCAATGTAACGGGGTTCGTTGTTGTGGGAAGAATGAGGCGGGAACCGGCAAACATTTAAACATTTTAATAGTAAAATAAACAAATACAAAACAAAAATATAAGCGAGCAGCCCCTCACTGCTGGCCACACACAACAGAAACAAAACACAACATAAAATCAGGCCTGTTCCTCTCTCGATCTGCCCTGTCGTCGCTCCTCGTTTTATGCGTCCGCTCCTCGGTGAGAGACGCGAGAGAGACCGGTGCGT